TCCATAATGCAGGGAGGAGACTGGATGATTAAGTGTCCGATTAGAGAAAACAGATTAACCTGGCAAACATAATAAATTTAGCTCATAAGCGGGATGGTTTTATAAATGTTCACAAAAACTCTCCTGTTTAAAATCATGAGCCATTTCCTTCTGTGATAACTCAATTGAAATTCGAGCTGAAATTCAAGTTGAAATTGAATTGAAAGTCAAGCTGGATAAGAGATTTGTTCTGTTCTGTCTAGAACCATAATTGTTTCTGGGTGCTTTAAGGGAGATCCCAAACAATCTCTAGTAAGGTAAATGTCTCACTGGGGGAAGCTAACACTGGAGTTCTAGGGGAAGGCATATCCCTCCTTCCTCCAGTTCTGAATTTGATATTGGTGACAGGGAATGGCCCAGAGGGAGGTATCTTGTGTGTATATTCATTTGCCCCAGATTTTGGGTCAGGGAGGCATACAAATATGTGTGTGTGTGTGTGTGTGTGTGTGTGTGTATCTGGAAGGCATGAAGGTTTAAATATTTTTAATCTTTAGTTGTACAGATGGGGTTTAATTCGACACGTCAGTTTGTTAGTACAATGAATCTTGATCAATGTTACCTGTTCCATAATTTTAAGGCCACTACTGCCACCCTTGGCTGATGGAAAAGCTTCCTTGGGATGCAGGGAAGTTATTTGTGTGGACCACGGGCTATAATCTGTATTGCTAATGTGCGGACTGAAATATCTCTGGGTTCAATGCGATGGGTCATCTTCATAACTACAGCTCAGTTTCTGGCAACTTAGAAGTTTGTTGCAGGAGGATATGAGTGGCAAGGAGGAATATAGTTGTTTAGGTACCATGCTGAGGTTGTGCTTTGTGCTTTGAGTTTGTTTGTGCTAGTTGGTGGCAGGGCTTATGTTGATGTGCCTCTGATGCCTTGAGAGGAAACTGCCCTTGAGAGGATGGGTGGAGCTCCTAGAGTTGTGGGTCAGGGTCCTGGAGACCATGTCCTGGGACAGAGCATAAAGACTTCATTATGCCAGGGGGTGGAACCTGGAGACTACACCCCACCAGGGACAGTCCCGGAAACCAAACCCCAGACTGAGTAAGAACCTGAAAGGCCACGCCCACAATGGGCAGGGTCCTGCTGAGGCCACCCACAAATGGGCGGGGATAGGTGGGCCCCGCCTGCTGTGGGCGGAGTCTTGTATGTTATCTCAAGCTCAGGGGAGGAGCCTGGCGATGACACCCCAGTAGGGGCGGGGCTCCGTTGACCACGCCCACCCTGGGGTGGAGCCTATTGCCTGTGCAACCGCCGCTTGAGCTGAGGGCCGGCGGTCGGAGGACATCTTAGATCGGTGGTGTGGAGTCACGGAGGCTTGGTGTTGATGGACGACTCTGATGTCGGTTGTCTGTTAGCCAGATGGCCCCAGCTGCTGCTGCGAGACCAGTGAGGAGCCGTGACTTGGGCAGCCGCGGCCCAGTGCGGGAAGGCCGCGGGGCCTGAGAGGGAGACCGAACGTCCGTGCATCAACCCGACGTCACAGAGGTCACCGAGGGCGAGTGGACGGGGTCAGAGAGCCGCCGTCTGATGGTCAACCTGCTGGGGGAAACTGAGTCCCCGGGGCGGGGGGAGGGGCAGAACTGCTAACTCCAGGGGTGCAGCTGTGAGGTGGTGGCTGTGCGGGCTGCTTGGGGAGGCTCTGGAGGCCTTCCGCCCGCCGTGCTGGCCAGGAACGCGGCGGGGCCTGCAAGGGGACGGGTGGCATCTCAGACCTCGGAGCCGGCCGGGCTTGGTGACCCTACCTCGGCACGGTTGAACTTGTGCTGGAAAAATGCAGAAAGTTCTGCTTAATCCTTCCTTTACTAACCACTCATGTCTGCATGGCCGATACTCCCAACCCAGCACTCTGCTCGAACCCGGAAAAGGTCTAGAACAGAGCCGGGTGCTATAGCTGAGGAGGGTTGCTTTGATCCAAGATTCGACCCCCGAGCTGGTACAGTTCAGGTGTGGCCCAAGGGATCTATGCAGCCCCTAAGAACCCGGAGATGAGGCAGTGTGCAACCCCAGGGCCTGGTGGAGATGGGTCACTGTAGCACTCCTGGGCGTGGAAAGCGAGGCTGGATGGGAAAGGATCCAAATGGCGTTGGAAAGCTGTGGGACAGGAAGTAGCCCCGTCTGCTTCTGTCTCAGGAAGTTGAAATCTGTCTGCTGGTTTGACAGCTGGATATCTTCTTTGGAGAAATGTCTTTTTTGTCGACGTACTATAACGTTTGCTTTTCTATTGTCTTGAGAGTTAATACAAAAACTGTTCTAATTAGTTATTCTAGTTTTATAGTGAAAAATTTTTTTTAAGTGTGTCATTACCGAAGCTTGAATTCAGGGCCTTAAACTTTCACTTGTTTTTTTTTTTTTTTTTTTCTTTCAAGGCTAGCACTCTATGATTTGAAGCATGCCTCCACATTTTCCTGGTTAATTGAAACTAAAGAGTGTCATCTGCCTGGACTGGTTTCAAGCCATGATTCATGCTCCTGAGTGCTTAGGAGTACAGGTGTGAGTCTTTGGCACTCAGCTAAAGTTTCTTTCTTTCTTTCTTTTTTTTTTAATTTGGATGATGTTCAATTTGTCAGTTTTTCCTGTGTGTCGATTTTTTTTGTCAATTTTTCAGTATCCTGGTGATACTGCTATTTGAACACAGGGCCTCTCACTTGATAGGCAGTGCCATGTCCTAAGCCATTTTTACATTAGTTATGGTCTCATGTTTATACCAAGACTGCTCTGGACTGCAGTCCTGTTATTTATGACTCCCAAATTGCTGAATGACAGGTGCATGCCCAACCTTTCTTGATAGAGATAAGGGATTTACTGAATATTGTCCATTGATCCTGTCTACCCTCACCTCAGTAGCTAGAATTAAAGGTGTAAGTCACCACTCATAGCCCTCAATTGTAGTTTTGATATCAAATCTAAAGAACCGTTTGTCTTTAGAGAAATTACTACTTTTTCTTCTGTTTTATAGTTTTACTCTTTTTGTATAATGTATGAGATTTAAGTGGAGATCTGTTGATAGTGGTGGGATCTTTCTTTTCTAGCCTATAGATTTTCAGCTACTCTAACATCAGTTGTCAAAATTCTTATTTAAAATGGCATATGCCCTTTGCCAGTCAAAAATCTGTCTCCTTTACCTAAAAATAAAAGGGTTGGGACTGGGACCAGAGAGGTATTATTCAAACTTCATTCCTGTAAGTATTGGGATCCCAGGGTCAACAGCATTGGAGGAAGGAGCAGGTGGGATCTCAGCCTGCCTAAACTTCACATCATGCATTAATAGTTCTATGACTACATTGGATATTTTTCCAAAAGTTGGTATAGAATATGTAGTTTTTGCCTGTCATATGTGATAACGAACTCAACTAGTAATGAAGATCCTTAAATAGGGTTAATTGAGAAAGAGCATTTGAAAATTATATTTCAAAGTATTTCCTGTTTAAATGGTGGTTATTATAATCTTGGCTGTAATAATTCTCGAATTTTAGCATGCAGCTGTGCATGCTCACTGACTCCTATTCATTAGGAATGTGTTTGCTTATATAGGGGCATGCTCTCTATTTTTCCAGATAGAACCCATGTGGGCAGATTGTGAACTGCCATATTAATAAGACTCAAACATATTTGAGAGGGTAGTTAGACTTAATGTTTCTACAAAGTTGTCTTAAATAGTTATTTTTCAACAGATGGACAGCTTACGTGACAGTGTGATGATTGAAGTTTTCAACAGATGTTATACTTGGAAACACCATTCCAATATTAATTGTTGTAAAAAGGATTTTTAGAGTGTCTGAAAAGTGCAAGTCTGTATTGACAGGTCATTAGCCTGTGCTGTTGTAATCATAATTTAGATGATTGGAGAATTTCCTTTGCTGGCACTTGAATTTATTTTGTAAATGAGCCTCTATATCTGCATTAGAGTGGGATGAAGAGGCGTACCCTATTGTCACTTAGATTCAACTTGTGTCCAGCATTACATCTCCCTTTAGGTTGTGGTTAGATACACATGACTTTCTCTTGCTGCATTACTCTACTTCCACACATAGAAATTGCAAACTTTATTTAAAAAAAAACAACTGGTGAGGTTTACATTACCTTTCTGAGAAGTATTAATTTAGAAGAGAAAGAAAATCTTACCAACTTAGATTTTCAGGCATATTCATCAACATAATGATCTTGTTTGCCTTGCATGTGGCCCTGCTTCTACTGTTGACCACCTTACCCTGTTACTGAAATCAATAACTAAGGAGTCAGAGAGGACATGAAGCAGTGAGGGGAATGCTGAAATCTGTGGTGTGGCATTTGTGATTATTGTAATGGCAAAAAAAAGTCCACTGATTTTTGTTGGTGGAAGCTAGAGTGCCTAGACATGCTACAATACACAGCACAATTTTTGAGCAAATAAGTCATATTGTGTATCCTTTATTACGGCTGAATATCTGACTAGACATTCATACGAACATGAAATCTGTGTAAATTAAGTAACAATATTTTGAAGTATAAGGTGTATCTCCCAAACTTTAATGTTCATAGAATATTAACATTTATATCTAACTACTCGTTAATTTTACTATACTGCAGATAAATGGCTAAAGAATTTCTGATCTTATGCTGGAATTCTGACTTTTTCACGTTAAAGTACAAGCATGTAGACACTTTATAATATCTTTCAGAGCATATACATAGTAAAACAGAGTATTGTTTCCTTTTATTAATCATTTTTATTTATATAGGGCATTTTAATACATATTTTTTAAATTTAGAATGAAATTATATTGACTGAGAGTTTGTGGATTCAAAGAGAGAATTAACTTGCCTATTGGCACACACATATTGAGTTGGAATCATTCAAAGAAAAAGACAATGAAATGGGTCTAAGGGTTTCATAAGGGATGTATTATAAACAGGGCTTAAGCTAGAACTTTTAGCCATTTGTATCAGCTAGACCATCTTTGTATTTGTCATTGCAGATGGCATTTAATGATTGCTTCAGTTTGACCTACCCAGGCAACCCCCATCCAGGGGACTTGATTGAAGTGTTCCGTCCTGGCTATCAGCACTGGGCTTTGTACTTGGGTGATGGTTATGTTATCAACATAGCACCTATAGGTAAAGTTTGTTTACTCAGCTTCTGGGAGCTTTTGTAATAAGGAATTTCTTGTAATAAGGAATGAGGAATAAAATCAAAACAAAATGTAGAAAACAGAAAAATGAAGCTAATCTATGTTTAAGACCAAAATGTCATTGCAGGAATCATGTAGACCAATTTATGGTGATCAGTACATTAAACAAAACTCACAATAGGCTGGGAATGTGGTTTAGTGGTAGAGTGCTTGCTTAGCATGCATGAAGCCCTGGGTTTGCTTCCTTAGTACCACATAAACAGATAAAGCCAGAAGTAGTGCTGTGGCTCAAGTGGTAGAGTGTTAGCCTTGAGCAAAGAAGCTCAGGGACAGTGCCCGGGCCCTGAGTTCAGGCCCCAGAACTGGCAAATAATAATAATAATAGTAATAATTATAATAATAACCAGGTGGGGAAGATATGTGCCGCAAATGCCATTCAGTTTTTATGTTCTTATAGATCACATAGAAATACATTTAATTTGAATAACTATTGATGATGGCATAAAATGTGCTGAAAGCTCTTCTAGGCATAAGAGAACATATAGATATCTCCCTGCATGGTGGGACAATAATATAGTAGAGAGAACAAGAAGAAATTATAGAAGTTAGATGTAAAAAGGGAGATTAGTGATATTTTAAAAAATACATCATTGGGATGAGAAGTACAGAAGACAGGAGATGGAGATGGTAGATGAAGTGATCAGAAAACTATTATGAGTATAAAAACTTAAAATGGATAAGAAAAGCAAGATCTATTCATGAACTTGTACAATTAATGTGAAAATTGCTAATACTAAAAGTAATCTCCAGATACAGTTCTAGCCACATCAAAATTTAAATTCCATTCTTTGCAGAAGTAGAAAATAAAATCCATTTTGAAATTTATACTAAAGCATTAAAGACCCTGTATAACCAAAGTTTTCCTGAGCAAAACAATGCTAGAGGTGTCATAATACTGGATTTCAAATTATACTTAGTAACAAGACAATACAGTGCTGGCACAAACACAAACATATAGACCAATGGAAGAGACTAGATGATCCAGAAAAAAAAAGTCTACAGCTAAAGAGATCTGATGGATCGAAAAAAGATACTTTAGAGAAAAGACAGTTTCTTCAACAAATGGTGTCTGGAAAGATGGATATCCACATATAGAGCACTAAAAGTAGATCACTAATTCTTACCCTGTTTGTAAAAAAAAAAAAAATCAACCCCAAATGGATCAAAGATCTTAATTCACTATATGCAACTTTGAAACTAATTCAAGAAACACAGGGAAAAAACTTGAAGATAAAGGCATAAATAATGACTTTGTGAAAAGAACTCCAATCACTTAGTCAATAAGAGCAAGAATTGACAAACATGGTTGTATCCAATTTTAAAATTCCTTAACATAAAATACAATTTTAACTAGAGTGAACAGACAGTCTACAGAAGGGGAAACAATCTGTGCCAACTATTATTCTGACAAAATATTAATAGCTAGAAAGTGTGAACATCTCAAAAAAAAATAAGCCAGATCCAGTGTATCACGCCTGTAAGCCTAGCTACTCAGGAGGCTGAGATCTGAGAATCACAGTTCAAAGCTAGCCCCCCTGCATGAAAGTCCGTGAAACTCTTAAAGCCAGAAGTGGAACTGTGATTCAACTGGTACAGAGCTACCCTTGAACAAAAATCTCAGAGACAGCATGCAAGCCCTGAGTTCAAGCTACAGGACCAGCACAAACAAAACAAAAAGCAGTGATGTATAAATGGCCAAATCAGTTGGACAATTTTGAAAAGAACAAATTCAAATGTCAAATAAATACATGAAGGAAATGCAAATCAAAACAGCATTGAAATTCAAACTCACATTAGTCCTAACTAATATCAATTATGAAGAAAACAACACAACAACAGATGCTGACAAAGATGTGATACACAAGGGACCCATATGTAAATTAGAAAAACAAGACCCCAACTTAACCGCCAGAGGACTGGCTTACCATGCAAATTCAGCACAGGAACTTGTTTCACATACTGAAATCTAGTTGAAAGAAGTGTGTGAAGTGTTCAGAATGAGTGCACCTTAGGTACTAAGGTGACCCTCCTACTAAGCCCTGAAATGTTGATTTTGGAGGATTCAAAGCAAAAAAGGTAAATAATATCCATACTGCATTAGAAACACAAGGACCTCTATAATGTTAATGAATAGGGAACTTAGAATATTCTCATTAAATTTGATCAATGAGAAAGTCATAAATTTTTAGAAAGGTTTTTGTGTCCTGTATTCTCATTCTTATAGTATTACTAATGCATTTACAGAATGAGTAATTATACCTGAAAAGATTGATTGTTACTTGATGGTATCAGAGGAGCAGAGCTAGTTCTTTGGATGATATTGGAGTCTCTGTCCCTTATTAACCAGAATTCTCCTTACAGATGGCATGCCTTCCTCATTTACTAGTGCCAAGTCTGTATTCCACACGAAGGCCCTGGTGAAGATGCAGCTCTTGAAAGATGTTGTGGGAAATGACACATACAGAATTAACAATAAATACGATGACATCTTACCCCCTCTCCCTGTGGATGAAGTCATTCAAAGGTCAGAGTTTGTTATTGGACAAGAGGTGGCATATAACTTCCTGTCCAACAACTGTGAGCATTTGGTGACTTTGCTTCGGTATGGAGAAGGAGTCTCAGAGCAAGTAAGTTTTCTTTAGGAGACACAAGTTTCTTACTTGTAGAAAAAGTTATTTGCTATCATTAGTTATTTGGTATTGTGAAGTTCCCAGTTCTTAAATGAAAAGAGCAACAAAACACTGAAAAATACAGGAAGTTGAGTTTCCCAAGATTAAAGAGCAAGTAAGTGGCTAAACAGAATGAGTGTTATAAATTTGGGGCTAGAAGAGACGAAGTAAATCAAGTCCATAGCTGTCTGTCAATCATTGTCTTCTGCTCTTTGAAAAGTTTCCTCATTACTCTACCTTACACAAGTTCCAATTAGTACTTTCGCCTCAGACACTGCAAAGAATGTGCCAAAAAGGATGCTGATCTTGGAGTAAGAGTTCATTTGCTGAAAATATCAATAGCCCTTTGTAGATTCTTTTCCAATCAGGAGGAGAGGCTAACTGATGATGCATCTGTGTGGGTTTGCAAATATTTTCTATTTCCTTGCCATGATAATTTTCAGTCATATATTGTGCTTTGGTATAGATCCTTGTTCATTGAATTTTGGATGCTTTTTAAGGGATTGACTTTGAAATATCTTAGAGTCTTGTAAGTTTCTACCACTGTTTTGTAGTATTACATTAATTCCCAGTGACCTGGGCTTATGTCAGTTATTCTTTCCCTATCTATATCCCAACCAAGTTCCATCACTGATGACTTAATGCAGAGGTTTATCAAGTCAATGAGACAATGAATATGTAAAATTATTAGAGAAAACCTTCTTTCTCCAAATACATTATGAAACTTCATTTTAAAATCAATACTAAAATAACTTCATAGTTACTCAACTCTGGAAGGTTGTTTTTAAAGGAGGCTAAAAACTCAATAATAGCATAGGAATCTATGAATATACTGACAACTCAAAATGTATCCAAGGCTTCCTATATGTTGGGGTGGTAGATCAGTTACACCTACTCCTGAGAAATGAGATGTGAGTCCTCTCATGAAAAAAGCTGGCAAAAGAGCTAAGCACTGGTGGCTCATGCCTATAATCCTAGGTACTGAGGTGGCTGAGATCTGAGGATTGTGGTTGGTTCAAAGCCAGCCAGAGAAGAAAAGTCCCTGTGAAACCCTTCTCTTCAATTAACCACTCAAAATCTGGAAGTAGAGCTGTGGCTCAAGGGGTAGAGTGCTAGCCTTGAGCACAAAGAGGCTCAGGGATAGTACCCAGGCCCTGAGTTCAAGCCCCACAACTTGACCAAGAAAAAAAAGAAAAAGCTTGCAAAAGTAGGAAATAGAACATAATGGAACGGTATATTTATGTTTATTTTTATTTTCATTAGGAAATAATTCAATTGGAAATTCATTCACATTAGGAAATAGATTAACACAATGAATTTCTATTTACATATAATAAGAAATGTGAGCTAGAAAACAAGCTGCTCACAGACTCATCCTCACCTCTGCATTGGAAATGGGTGGTATGTTAGGAAATGGGCTCCATGCTTCTTCACTAATGACAAAACTGTTCTCTAAATTCACAAGTAGTTTTTGTTTATTGGCTAAATATTTTTGCATATGGGGGAGCCATTGGTCAAAGAGTATAAATTTCAGTTACACAACATGAATTCATATGGAGATCTAGTGTACAACGTAGTACCTGCAATTAACATTACTGTTTTATACTTAAATTTTTGTCAAGAGGGTAGATCTTAGATTAGATCCTCTTACCAGTAAACAAATAAAATAAAATGAAAACATCAACATCAAGAATAGAACTCAACAAAGGTAATAGGAGGAAACTTTTGGGGGTAATGAATAAGTATGTGGTATTACTTATATTGATGATTTCTTATTTGGATGTATGTTTACATCCAAATACATCAGGTTTATGTACTAAATATCTAGCTTTTTGAAACAATCATACCTAGATAAAGTGAAATGCAGTTAAATTGTCCAGGTAGGGTGATTTATCCTTCTAGTCTCAGCTACTCAGCAAGAGGAGATCAGAAGAACTGCTGTTGGAGGACAGCTTAGGCAAAAAGTTAGCAAGACCTCAGCTCAACAAAAAAGCTGAGCTGAGCACAAACCTGCAATTTCACGTATGACAATCCCATAAGTATGACAATCACTATCCAGTCCAGCCTGAGTAAAAATGATAATAACTGACGTGGTATGTAGAGTGCCTGCCTAGCAAGTGCAGGGCTCATCTTCAAACTGCAGTGTCACTAAAATAAATAGCAATTAAATTCTACGAACGTTCAAAGATTGCATCTATCGGCTTTGACTCTAATTTGGAACCCATCTTCTTTCCACATTTATATCAATATTTATGTTCCATGAAAAAGAAAGTATTCCTCTTCACCCTATAAGCATAGCCTCTTCCACCCTCAATATCTTCTGTGCTCTACCTTTAAATATTCACCTTCCTTTTGCCTCAGATCCCAGGAAACCACTCATTCCTTTTTAGCTTGTTTCTATACTTAAAAGTATATCTGAAAAAGATGGGCACGACCTTTAGTAAGCCCATGCAAGCCAACACAAATACACTCAGACTTTGCTGCAGTGCACCGGGGGTGTCACTGTTCAGGAAAGAGACACTGGCTAACCCCTGCAGTCATTTGGAAGCCTGCCAAACAGTACCTGTGTGCAGTCACTCTAGAAACACCTCGTGTTTCACTGGGCATGCGCAGATGGCAGAGTGAGGCTGTTCAGTGGCCCACAAATAGAAAGGCTCACAGAGGCAGGCGGAGTCAAACTGACAACTTTATTATTCTAAGTAAGACACAAAATAAATGCTTTGGTGCATGTTAGTTCACGAAGAACATCCTGAGGTGTTAAAATCTATGGGTCAGATGGTCCTAGATGGAGTGTTGTCTTCTAGAAAAATGAGTAATTGTCTATTCCCCATGAGGAAACAGAAATGAGGAAGGCAGCACTGTGTTGTTGGTAAACTCAGTGGTGGAATCCTGTGGGCTGGTCAGAGACTGTGCTCAAATATGAACAGGGTCATATTTATAAAATGATTTCTTTGTTGCTTTGTATGTCCCTCCCCCATGGTATAACCCCTGCTTTCATTGTATTTGATGTTGGTATAATTTGTGGAGGGGAAGGGCAAAAATAAACTTTAAATAGGGATACAGGTGGACCCATTGCAACAATGAGATGTACAAGTCATTATGTTGAAAAACGACTTTACAACTTTGGTGGGGGGGAATGGGAAGGGATGGGAAGGGGAAACAAAGGAGGAGGCAACAATGCTTGATAAGAAATGTACTCATTACCTTGCCCATGTAATTGTAACCCCTCTGTAGGGTATTTTTACAATAAAAAAATTAAAAAACGCAAATATGACCAGGGTCAGCTTTCTGGCTGTTAGACTAGTCTTCTGTCATCTAGCAAAAATGTTTTACTTTGTTTGAAGACCTTGATTCTTAATTCTCAGACAGTAAATGTCATTCTAAGAATATGTGATGACACTGAAGAGTCCAAATGTGACCTTTCGGTCCTAAAATTGCATTCAGATGCATGTGGATAGAAGGCAGTATTAGTTAAGTGCCAGGGAAACCATGAATATTCATTAGTCCCTCATGATGATGATTAATACCCTTAAATTTGGCAGTGTCTGGACTCCTTTATGGACAATTGAGCTTGAGAGTGGCTTATTTGGTCTGTATGAGAAATTAATTTGACATGATAGTTAATATTATTATTGACTTTTCTTGAAGTGTGTTTATCAGAACAGAAATTATATCTAACAAAATAAGAGCCTGGGGCTGGGAAGGTGGCTCAGTGATTCAGTGCTTGCCTTGTATCCATGAGGCTCTGGGTTCAATTCCTCAGCACCACATAAGCAAAAAGAAAAAAGCCAGAAGTGGTGCTGTGGCTCAAGTGGTAGAGCGCTAGCCTTGAGCTGAAGAGCTGAGGGACAGTGCCCAGGCCCAGAGTTCAGGCCCCACAACCGACAAAAAAAAAAAAAAGGAAGCTTGTAGGTTCTTAGCTCAGTTCACAGCACTGATCTGTTTGACTAATAGAACTCGTTTAGTCAGGAAATGTGCACATGAGCACATGTGGCCACAGAACTTATCCCTAAACATCCTGGTTGGCCTGACTTTGGACAAATCACTTACTACCTTCCATGTTTTGCAGAACGGCAGTAGCACTTCCTTTCTCACCTGTGCACCTGTCAGTGTTCTCCATGTATAGGGACTGTATAACTATATGGGTTCATCTAATATCTTTGGCCTAATTATAAAGCTTGTAGTTTTATTTCTTCATCTTCATACAGAATTTTGCCTTGGCATGTTCATTGTACATTAAAACAGGCCTTCAGTGTGAAAAATCCTAATAGAACTTTACTTGGGACATTGACATATCTTTAGCTAAAAGATGCATTTTCTATTTCTTGTTTTCTTTCAGGCCAACCGAGCAAAAAGTATCCTTGGACTAGTGACAGCTGCTGTTGGTGCCTTCTCCTCTCTGGGCTTGTTTCCAATGAGACGAACAAAATTCTATTAACAAATTACTGAAGAGATATTGGAACTGAAAGAATACACAAGAAAGAGTAAAAGATTTCCTGGGATGAGTACTTATTTTCAGTTCCTCAGCATTGTTCCAAATTTTGATGATGGATAGCCAGTTCCTTAATAAATTACTTACTGACATTATCTTCTCATTGAGCCAATGAAGTATATTCTTCTCCTCCTAGCATAGATTTTTCTTAAAATCTATGGCAGCTTAAACAAAAAGCAGTAGCCTTCCAAGTGAGACTGCAAAGGATCTTAACAAAACCAATGGCATATTTTCTTTTACTATAAATGCTGTTTTCCTTTTCCCTAAGGATAGCTATTTTACTGGAGAGATAGAGAACCAATTATATGGTTTTGAAAGGAATGTTAAGAGCCCAAATTGTTACGGTTGACATTAAATTCATATGCCTTTTCTTGTACAATATGAAACTAAGAAATTAAGTATTTGGGGTAGGCAGCTTAAAGAACTCTGAATGGCAAAACCATTTGAGAATATACCCTTAACTTTTCTGCGCCTGTTTATGTGCTGGAAGGCAGGAAGAGGATGGAAGACACTATTTTAGAGTTTTCCTTTATGTGTGCCAAAAATTGGGACTTGAACTCGGGGCCTGGAACACTGTCCCTGAGCCACAGCTCCATTTCTGGATTTTGGGGTGGGTGATTAATTGGAAACAAGAGTTTCACAGACTTTCCTGCCCAGGCTGGCTTTAAACCATAATCTTCATATCCCAGCACCTTAGCTGGGATTTCCAGGCAGGAGCCTGTAATCAAACTACTTTTAAATACCACTGCAGTAGATTCCTTGGTGGCAGCAGATAAAGCAAGGTAGGATGCAGGTCACTAGGTTAAGGCTCAACTGGACTTTGTAACTTCATTCCATACACCACACATCCAGCCTGGCATCCTCCCTGGAACAACATACAACATTCCTGTCAATGGGGTAGGAGGGTGCATGGTGGTGGTAGTGGTGGTTGACAGCGAGATGAGTGAACTAGAATATGGTAAAAAAAAATTACCAACTATAAAACTCAACACATACATGTCTTAGGCCTATTAAGCTAATTTAGACTTTTATTCCAGGGCTATAAATACTCAACAAACTAAATTGCAGGGTTAAGAGTAACTGTAATAGCCCAGTGCTGGTGGCTCTCACCTTAATCTTAGCTACTCAGAAGACTGAGATCTGAAGATTATAGTTTAAAGCCAGGCAGAAAAGTCGGTGAGACTCTTATCTCCAATTAACCAGCAAAAAGGCTAGAAGTGGAGCTGTGGCTAAAGTGATAGAGCACTAGCCTTGAGTTTTGAAAAAGCAAAGGGACAGCACCCAGGCCATGAATTCAAACCCCAGCACCTACACCAAAAATCAAAACAATAATAATAGAAGGGTTCCTATGCCAGTCTGCAAAGCTTTCATTTCTCTTCCCTCCTTTCTCCTTAACCAGCGCCTTCCTTTCTTATGACACTCACTCTGTCTCTAGATAACCCCCAGACCATCTTCTTGCCAAACCCATCTTCTGTGGAGGTATGAAGTTTAAAAGTATCCTTTCACTTTCATTCCAAATTCAGATCTTTGTGGGATTTTTTTATGTTCTAATCCCAAGTAATCATCAACTAATGAACAGTTTTCTAGAATTGTCAGATTAAGTTAAAACTAGAAGTAGCTTGGCTTTTTTGTTTGTTTTTGATTAAAGATGTTTACAGAGCGTAACTCTTAACCCAGAGCAAGAGACTTGGCTTTGGCAGAGGTAGAGCACTGGCCAGTGAGAGTAACTGGAACTTGGAACCTTTAGACAGAAGCTTCTAGAAAATTCTGGGTGTCTCCACTCCAGAAAGCAGTCCTTATTGTACTGGGTAGTATCAGAATTACACTTTTGGACTTTTGGATTCATTTTCTCATAGCAATTGTGTTTGAGCATCAGTGGTTTTTACCCTGAAAAACTGAGCTCAGAAACTTAGTCATCAGTTCTCCATAGAAACAACCACTCAGGCGGTAGTGCAGCCCGGACTGCCCATTTGCCAGGTGTTCTTTAAATTGTTATTTAATTTTTGTCAGTTATGAGGCCTGAACACAGAGCCTCAGTACTGTTCCTGAGCATTATCATTCAAGTCTATCACTGTATGACGTTTAGCCACAGTGTCTCTTCCAGTTTTCTGTTAGTTACTTGGAGATAATAGGCTCATGGACTTTTTTACCTGGGTTGGCTTTGAACCATGATTCTCAGATCTCAGCCTCCTAAGTAAGATTACAGGTGTGAGCCACTGGCACCTGACTTGTCAGGTACTTTGTTATCAAAATGTTTTACCAACATTTTGAAACCTTCCTTTTAGCAATCAGTCATGGAGCTCATCTTTATCATGTTCCCAAAAATAAATGTGAAATAAAGACCTATCAGCCACCAGATATCTGATAAGTTGTTGGTAAAACTGGAATTAATAAAGGCCAAACCTTCATTGAATAAGGGATTTTTAAATACCTTATGGAATTTAAATATCACATTGTATCACTTGAATCTTTTTCACTCTAAAAGTCAAACTAGTGGATGCAAATGTCAGCTCAAGGAAATCTGGCTACCGTACTTTTAAGAGTGATAAACATGTTTATAATTGTAACCCCTCTGTACAGTATTTTCACAATAAAAAATAAAATTAAATTAAAAAAACTAAAAAAAGAGTGATAAACATTTTTAATCATAAGCTGAAAATATCCCCCCCTTTTTTTTGTCAGTCTTGGGACCAGAACTCTGGGCCTGGGCTCTGTCCTTCAGCTCTTCAGCTCAAGAATAGCGCTCTACCACTTGAGCCACAGCACCACTTTTTCTGCTTATGTGGTGCTGAGGAATCGAACCCAGGGCCCCATGGATGCAAGGCAAGCACTCTACCACTGAGCCACCTTCCCAGCCTCTGAAAATATCTTTCTAAAGCCTTTTTATCTTGTTATCAGGAGCCACTAAATTAGGCACATTTTGAAAGAGCTGTGAACACAAGAAAAGGTTAAAAGGCCAACAAAATGTAAGAGGGTTTGTTTTCATAGGAATAAAACTTACAATGTTTATGACCTCAATTACTAAAATACTGAAAACATTTTTCCATTCTGAAGACTTCAGAACTATCAATTAAATGCTATCTTACACAGAATCCACTCCTCATAGATAGGCACATATTTGATACTCATGGAATTGACTAGTCTCCTAGGCTTTCTGGAAATCGCAAGGTAATTTTAAATGTTCACCCAAATGAATTTCCTCTCAACTTCACAATACACAGTAAAGCTGTAGTGTGCAGAATTTATTCATAAATAATGTACCTTTGTCTGGTCTTTAATGCACATATAAGGTGATTCAGATAATTACGATGAAAATACAGTGTTGAGATACAAGTCTGTCTTAAAACATGAGATTTGCCATGTGTAGTTATAAACATTATGGGTTCCTTCTCTAGGGACTCTTTTTCTTTGGCAGTACAGGGTTTTGAACTTGCTATAATGACACTATACCACTTGAATCATGTCTCCAGGCCTGCTTTCTTGCTGTTTATTCTGGTGTTAGAATCTAGGAAACTTTTTCTGCAATGGATGGCATTGAACTGAGATCCTGTAGACCTTAACCTTTTGAGGAGCTAGATTATAAGCATGATCCACTAGTTCTCAGCTGCTTAGGATTTTTTTCTGTTTTCCTCTTTTTTAAAAGACAAGCAAGGTTGTGTTTGGGCAGATCTTTGGAATAGAACTGAATGTTTTCATGAGTTGGAAATAAACAAGAAATAAAGGTGTGATGCTTTTTAAAGTACAAAGCACATTTAAAGTTTATTATTTTTATAGTATACTTAGGACCTTCTAGGTAACTGACCCCCAGACAGTGTATTTTGGGAATTGCCAGATTTTGATGGTTTGCTCAGGTACTAGCTTTGCCCATGCCAACAACATATTTAATTACCACAAACCTCTGCAATTCCCCATTTCCACACAACTCTGCTTCACTATACAGTTAGGGTTGAATTTTCTGAAGCTACTTCATATTTCTTTATTAAAACCATATGAAAAAAAGAAGAAGAAAGGAATTTAGTGACCTTGGAAAAAATACAAACATAAACATGCCTCTCAAGTGAATGTAAGACTTAAGTAAGCTTGTAATAAGTGTATAACTTTCAAAGACCAAATGTTTGTTTCACTTTCCTTTCTCTTACTAAGGTTCATGCTTCTAATTTCATTACCATGACAGATATCCTGAAATAACACAGTATGAATGCAGTTCATTATTATTATTAAAAATAATAGTCCAAGAATGCATTTTTCTCTGGATAGTAAAGGATGTGATCAAAGATAAATGTAAGGTCAGAATGTAAGGTCAGAATGTTGAGAAATTGCACTTAGAATGCTGGGATGGGGAGAGAAATATAAAGACACACATACTGTTTTCACCTTTCCACATGCAATGGGAAGATGTCACTGTTACACATGCATAATGACAATTCTGATCACAGCCTGGTCCAAAAATGCTGCTCTGTGGTTTGCCCTCTCAATTTGACTTTCCCTTCGGGAGCCTGTTCAGGGTCTTCATAGCCTCTGTTGATATAGAGCCCATTTTTGCCATCATCTGAATATGTCCTGTTGGTGGGAGGCCAGGTAGGGTCAGCTGCCAACTTTCTTTGCCAGATCCTATATTGACTTTTAGAGTAGAATCCAAATTCTTTCTTGATCAACAGCCAGAGCTCTCGATTTTGAAGGACAGCATCCTGGAAAATCAAGTGGGGAAAAGCAAAGCATTGTGCAAGTCTTCTAGCCACCAGGTGGCTCAACGTGGCCTGCATCATCAGGCACCATTGCTGCAAACTCAGCTACATCTCCCCATTTCTTCCCTTCAAGAGCTGTAGCTGAGAGATCTGCTGAAAACTTACAGCCTTTTGTCTATACTGACTTCTTGGTCATATCCTAGCTAGTGGCTTACCTAGAATTTTTTGAGTGACAATGATAAAATGATATACAATAATCTA